GCATTATAATCCCGATCCTTGGGGCAGAGGGTGGGGGCCACGACAAACTATTCACAGAAACCTTCGTATGCAAATTAGGTGAACAGCGCCGAATTTTATGACGCAAGCGTCAAATTCTTGCTTTAAAATACGCGCATGACATCGTCGTCGATCAATTTCGGCCACTCTCGCTAGGAGTAGGAGTCCATCTCTTCAATCCCGTTTGTCTTCTTTCCAGTATTTGGTTCAAATTCAAATGAATTTATTTCGAATAGTTGAGGATTTTAGCTGTCGAATGGTGTGCCACATGTGGGTGGTCGGTTTGATTGTGCGATGGTCGCGAGCAATATGCATGGACATTTTTCGAAGGAAATGCCAAAAATTGCGAATGATCAGTTAGTCTGTATACAGTATACACGTACGTACGTGCAGCAGAGCAGGGGATCTACCCGATGTTCCCCAATACCGATGTTCCCCCAAATCCATAGGATTAGGGTTAGGGTTAGGGTTAGGGTTATATTGGTAAGGATTTCGAGGAACATCGGTATTAGGGAACATCGGAATTGGGGAACATAGACATGCACCCGTGCAGGAGCTATGGAAGAAGCGTTACAAAGCAAGGATTCCGTTTGTTGATGGCCTTTTTTTTCGTCCCTTATCCCAAAGCGACGGGACGGGGTTGAGTGGGTGGGGTGAGGGAGGCCCGCGGGTTGGAGTGCAGGTTGGAAGGGTGGGGAGATAGGGGGCGGTGCACCGGGAACACTCCATGCACATTTTTTATTGACCCTTTTGGCCTTGCCAATTATCCCGACCCCTTGGGGCGGGGCGGGGATAAAATTTCCTTTGTTCCTAATTTTTCCTTTTTTCCGTGCACCATTATCCAGACCCCGGGGAAGGGGGCGTTAGGGACGGGGGAAGGGGCGAATGGGGGATGGGGGCAAATGGGGGATGGGGCCGCGTCCCCACTTCTACGCCTGTGCAATTAAGCGTGGGTGTGCGTGTGTGTGTGGGGGGGGGGGGGGGAGTTTAGAGTACTCCGAATCAGGAGGTTGTATCATGGTTTTTTTTATTCACCCTTTGCGCTGTCCCCTGGCGCGGAATGGAATATGGGGTGAAAATATCTTATTTTCATGCAATGATGTTTTTGGGGGTTTTTTGGGGGGGGGGGGGCTTTATACGAAAACTTAAAAACAGTAATCATGAAAAATATAAAATTTAATAAAAATGCAAATTGCAGAAACGAATATCTCATATCTATTTTGTGAAAATGTTGTGGCTCTGAAAAGAGCCGTTTTGGTTTTAGTTTGTTGATTCGATGATTTCTTCGAAGGCTTGGCCGACACTTTCTTCTGCTTGCTCGATGTGTTCTTGCTGGCTGGCTTCTTGGCTGGCTTCTTGGCTGGCTTGGCTGGCATGGCTTGGTGGAGGATTTCTTGACAGATGTATATTTGACTTGGATGGCGTTTTCTTGGCAGCTTTCTTGGGTGACTTCTTCGGCGCGGGTTTCTTGACTTTATTCACCATTTTGGCTTTCTTGGCTTTTCTGCAATCTTGGCTTTCATTTCCCGTTCCTTCTTGGCCTTGATTCTCTCCTTCTCCTTAGCTGCATTAGCCTTGGCCGGCAGCCTTCTCTTTCTCCTCGGTGGTGTCAAACTTGAACGTACCAGCGGCTCCCTTACCTGCCATCCGAGTGAGCCTCCAACTTCATTGATTCATGTTTTATTATTTAAAAGTTTACTCTAGCATGGCTTATTACACAGAAATTCTTAGGGTGGATTATCTGGATCCGCACGTCCGTACCCCCGTGGGCGTACCAAACACCTCCCGCATGCAAAAAAAAAACCATATCTTTTTTCGCCTCTTTGGCCGACGTTCTGACTTGGTGGGTCCTTTTTCCGCAAGTTCAGAATATTTTCTCTAAAAATTGGTGCAAAATACATGTATTTGAAATGCCTTCCTTTGTCAGAAACCAACAAAATAGAAACTGCATTCTCATGTTTAGACGATACACAATGACATCAGAGGAGAATAACAATCAGTACTGACGAACTATTCGCTCACAAGATGCCTTTGATCACTAGTTCTCCATAATTATTTAGAGTATTTTGTATTCGGAGTATTCATCATTTTCCATCGTTTCTGACCTTTCAATAACATTGGACTTAAAGGGAAATCTTAAGGGCTCCGCTAAGCCTCATATAATTATGTCAGACGCATATAGGCCGAAGTCCGGCAAAATCTAATATAAGGCCCATAACTGTTATAAAATTCCGACGCCTAGGTCCGACACCTCATCAGTCCGACGCCTAATAATTTGGAAATTTCGGACTTCCGAGGCGTGGCGGGGGTCCAGGTTTATCATCGGAGGAGTCGGACTTGCGATATATAGGCCTAAGGCCCCAACCTTGATAGTATAGCCTCCCATGCAGCTACGGAACAACTCGAAATTTGGTTAATCAGGGTATATATATTGTTTTATTTCGTAGTACTATGCAGTTTTCTTTGACCATGGAGGGGTGGTTTGACTTTCAGGTTTTGAGTTATCAGTGTTGACTTTATCCAGATTTCGCTTATTCCAATTTGTCAGCGTTTTCACGAAGGGGTGAATTTGCCGCAATAGGTGTCGGGGTTTAACGGTTAGGGTTAGGTTTGGGGAACAGGTATAACATAATGCACCCGTTGAACTTGCAGTGGTTGTCAGAAAAGAGGTTTTAAGTTGGTCACGATTTGGAATAAACATTTCGCATACTACTGACTAACTTTTGAAACACAGATGAAACTTCAAAGATGTACCAATTACAGAATAATGGAACAACAATTCCGAGGTACCGGTATCGTAACTAATCCCCATAGATGTTTGTCTGGTCGTGAAAACTAAATCCCACACACTTGTTGTTTTGGCAAATTGCCGATACCCATTCCCCACCCTTTGCACGAATTTGTCTCTTCGTAAAAAATCAAAAGACATTCAGGTGAAGTTTTCTCAACATTGATTGTTATGATTTCGTTGATTTTATCTGATTTTGACCCAGACTTCTTTCCAAAAAATGTTCGTTGCGTGCAATTTCAGCCGGAACAAGAATTTTGAAAAAAGGTATGATTTTTGGATTGATAATTTAGTCCCTCCGTAAAAACGCTGAAAACCTTTTGCAATTTGATTCAAAAATTTCAAAACTATTTTTTAAAAGACTTGTCATGCTTACTGCTTACTGCTTACTTACTCTGATTCGATTTTTAAAGAACGGGTTTTTGACTATGTATTAGCCTGGGGGAGATTATAATCTGGATTGTTTGTTTTGCGTCTGTTCTTTGACGACTCTTCGGAATTGCCCCCATGATCTATCCTTTCGTGAAGTTGGCATCAAGTGTATTTCCTTTTATTTTCATGCCTTTGTTGTTATAACTTCTCGACATTATTGACAAGTGGTGAACATTCATATTCGTACTTGTATTAGTCATCTAAGTTAAAAACAAACACATTCTTGTCCTGGTGTAAATCAAAGAGTAAAAACAGTACAAACAGCATGCAAGAACTGACAATAGTAAAACTTACATTTAAATTAACCTATGAATAAAACATGCCTGTAAAACACAATAATTTTTAAAATGATAACTTAAAGACTGATAGCAAAAAGACACGATGCCTATGGGCTAGCACTATGACAATGAAATATAACTTTAAAAATATGCCGGGGAAAAAAGGATAAAGAACTTTAAAAATGTTTTTTTTTCCATCGTCGTAAAATACTAAAAACCACAGGTGCAGATTTTGAAAAGTTATTAAACTTAAATAAAGTTATTTTGTACTGTGTTTTCCAGTGGCTAATTCACAACAAATGATGTAAAGATCTAAACGGTCTTTCATATTTGCTGTATTATTATGTAACTTTGAATATACATGTAATGCCAAATTGCATTTTGGTCAAAAATAAAATGAAGCAAGCTTCGAGTCGAACTCCGATTTGAAAAAATTGACTTGAAGCTCGCCGATCCCCTGGATCATCCAATACATGTACATACACGTATACGTATTTGTATGCAGCATGTATGCATAGTGCCTGGCCGTGGCGTGGGAACGTATCAGATTACATATCGGCCGACCGCAATATCGATCGGTTCAAAAATAGATGGTCCGCGCGGGAATTGACCTGGATTGACCCGCAAACGTTCGGGTTGTCTGTGACGTAGGCAAGTCACCGACATATTTTTCTAAAAATGACTGCAAGTGCGCAGGCGTGCAAATTCCCGCACGATGCATAGGCCAAGTTCGTATGTGCATTACACAGGTCCTTGAAGTAAAAAACGATCCACGATGAAGATTCAGCCTACAATTGCAGTGAAAACAGGAGGAATAACCTGGAACCGCAACCAATAGTGCATGAAACAGTCATCGGGTGTTACGCTTCCGCGTGACGTCATGCGCCAACAGCCAGCGCAGCCGGCAAAACGAGTAGTTGACAGCGATCGCTCTCTGTGCCTGTTAATCGACCGCCATTATTGTACACAATTTTTTTTGTGCACAAACCAATTGCGGTCCTGGCCAATCCAGCAAGGTTGTCAAGTTAGCGGTTATTCCTCCTGTTTTCACTGCAATTGTAGGCTGAATCTTCATCGTGGATCGTTTTTTACTTCAAGGACCTGTGTAATGGTTATTCCAGGCAAGTTTGGGGTGAGTTGCAGTTGCAATTAGTGTGTAACGGGGACAAAATTGAACATTTTCCAAAAAATTTTGCCTATACTACAAGTTACGAGAAAAATTCGCTCCAGCCCTAATAGACAACCCAATGATAAAACTCAGGGCTGGGTAACTCCAGCTAGTGAACCATGGAGGAATCCTTGATGGGTGAACGAAGTCAGTCGAATAAAAACATAGCCCCATTCCGTCTTCGTGGCTCCCTCCAGCACCATCTTGCTTCTTGGGCAGTAGCTAGTGGGGCTTAAAACACTATAGTTGCTCATTGGAATTTCGAGAAATACGGTGACTAAATTTGATTTAATAAACCATTGTTTTTGTTTATCAGCTTGTAGAATCACCATACAAGAGGGCACATCAAGATGGCAGGAAAAGGGTAAATAACTAGGCCTAGGTCTATTCTTGATTTGTTTTCATGAAATATTTAAGAGTAAAGACAGTAGATGGAAAGAATGTCCTCGGCACTACATCCAAACTTATATATTTAATTATTTATTTATTTATTTATTAACCACGTGCAACAGCAGAAAAAAAACGCCAATTACAGGACTGGGTTAAAAATAAATATAAAATTATTAAAACATATATATATATATAGGCCCTATATATTAAAAAAACAAATATGTTCAAAAAAGAATCATTATAAAAAATATATATTGATGGACATTATGGACATTGCTGAGTACCGCTGTAGAAGTAGAAGTGCAACCTGACGCTGCTTTTTTCTTCATATCATCTTAATGAAGATAAGTCATTGCAAAAATGATGATAAGACTTGAATCTGTGACTGAGAAATATTTCCAATGTTGTTAGGAAATACTTGGAAAATGTTCTTGACTCTCCATAGACTTTGTACACAGTCGCCAAAGTAGTGTCAGGTTGCAACATTCTTTCCCAGTAGATAAACCAGCTTACCCTAAATTACTGAGGACTATTCAAAGATGTTTTTTGTACAGTCAGTGCAACAGTTCTGGATCAATTGTTAAACAAACTGCTGTAAATCCGTCCATGGTTGGAGTTTCCTAGTCCAAGTGACATCATTTTGTAGTAACATTTCTCCTCTTCAAGTTAAAACCAAATATGTTCACACAAACTCAACAAAAAGGAATATAAATCACGTCTTTTTGTAAAGGACTGAACACGACAGTTGCGGATCACTTTCGACAGTTCCGGATCACGCATGCTACGCCACCTGGTACATGTACAAATTCATCATTCACAGCGCACTCAGCCGCATGCATGTCACGTTTTCATCATGTAAACTGCACACAAAACTGCATCGTGTGCATGGGTGATCCGCAACTGTCGCACACGGGGATACAAATCTTTCGGCGAATACAGCAATTCAGCTAATTCAAATGCCCAAATCATTATCATTCAGTGATACTTGAGATTATGTCCTTACAAGAAAACCAAATATAGTGAAGAAAAAAACGATACATTTTGACTACGTTCCACAGGAAACCAGATTTTTGCCTTTACGCACTTCCTTTCTCAGGCCAATTACAAAACAAGGAGATATTTCGCCGAACTAGATTGTGTGTAATGTTAAGCGATTTCCCAAATTTCTTTTCCCCGACAATTGCAAAATGATAGACCTTCAATTTGGTGGAAAAAATCTCCAAAGAAAAAAGTTTGGTTACACTTGAAGTATTGTTATTTTTATTCAAGTGATCCGGAACTGTTGATGATCCTGATTGTAGGCTATTGTGATTCTCTACAAAACAAAACAGCAGGGAAAGGCTTTGTTAAAACTTATAAAACCAAACGGGGTAATCGTTATCTTTAGGACCCTGTTCCTATATAAGGTTAAAAGACTCACTAGAACAGCTGACTAAATCATAAATGACACTCAAAATTGATACTCTGATATTTTTTGAATTAAGGAAAGAATGTTGCACCCCGATGCCACTTTTTTCCATCATATATTATCTCAATGAAGGGCAGTCATTGCAAAAATGTTGAAAAGACATGAATCTGGGACTGAGCAACATTTCCAATTTTGTTAGAAAATACTTACAAAAGTCACTCAACTCTCCGTAGACTTTGCACACAAGCAAAGCACAAAAGTGGTGTCTGGATACACTACATTCTTTCCCATTTTTTATTTGTGTGTTTTATTTTTAAACAATAAATATTACTGTGATTTGATTTCTTTGCACTGTGCAGACAAGCCTTTCGACCAGACCGTGACGTATCTGCAATATGTCAGAAGCTATGGGATTGTGATGAGAATTGTCTCATGCCTGGCGTACATTACAAGCTGGATCCTCAGGGGTATACCTTCTATAGCAACCAGGGCAAGCAAGACAGGGCCAAGCGACCCCTCTTTGAGTGGGTAGAGGAGGCTGCTCTGGACAGACCAACTTACAAAAGTAGGTTGCTCCCTATTTCTGGGTTGTGTTTCCTAGGGTTAAAATTGGAAGCAAGGAACAGTATAAATCTATTAATTTAACCCTAACCCCCTAGGCCCTTGTTGCTTACAACCATCCTCAATCCTCCAAAATCCTCCAAAATTGTTCAACTCCGCCTAAATTTTTCAAAATTGTCAGACAGTCCTGCCTCAAAATGCATTCATCCTCAATCCTCCAAAATCCTCCTCATCCCAAAACTTTGCACTCGTGTTTAAATGAAGGATAACCAACGCCAAATCCTTCAAAATCATCAGACAGTCCTGCCTCAAAATGCATTCATCCTCAATCCTCCAAAATCCTCTTGTGCTTCATTCACAATTCATCCTCAATCCTCCAAAATCCTCTTGTGCTTCATTCACCATTCATCCTCAATCCTCCAAAATCCTCATGTGCTTCAATCACCATTCATCCTCAATCCTCCAGAATCCTCATTTGATTCAATCACCATTCATCCTCAATCCTGTAGAATCCTCCAAAACCGCCAGGAGGAGTGAGGTGGGTTAGGGTTAACCCTCCTACTAACATGACTAACCATCCTTTTGTCCAACAGACAAAAGCAGGCAAGTGGTAGGCACAGCTGGTTAAACAGTCACCTACAGTCAAAGCACAGCTGTATCAAGTAACATAAACAGTCACATCCAGTCAATCCTGCTTTATGTGTAGGCTGGGATTTTGCAGACTCCCACTTTAAGGTTCTGGAACGCACAAAGTACTTATCCAGGAACTGGATTTTAAACACATTGTCCAATTCATTGTTTCATCATTGGCTTTGGGCGAATTCTTATAAAGCTTTTGGATTCGAACGCCGGCTACATGTTTACATCCCGTTAAAAATGTTAATAGATACATGCCCACTTTTAAATAATCAGAAACAGTTTGTTAAAATGCAATTTGGTTTTGATATCGGCGATCAGCGAAAAAAATTCTAGACCCGAAGCCAAGCCACATAGCCTATACAAGATCGAAGTTTCACTTCTTGTTAACTGTTAGTGATACAAATGACTTTCTCTCTTGTCTTTATTTGTTATATAATGTTCAAATATTCGTGACTCGAATTGACTCAAGCTAAACATTTGACTCGACTCGACCTTCTTGACCTAATAACTCGACTCGACTTGACTCTGTAACCCTAACTCCCTAGGCCTTTTTGCTAGGATGTAGCCTCAATCCTGCAAAATCCTCCAATTGGCCTCATGGAAAAATATCAAATAGCCTCATCAATCCCGCAAATTTCTCCATTATTTCATGAATATGGTTCGTGGAGGGGTGACCACTGCCTGAATCCTGCAAACAATCCTGCGGCAGTGACTGTCAATATGTTGAGGCTTGGCCAGTGACATTCTGGAGCAGTACGGAGGATTTCAAGCATAATCCAGGCCTATATTTTTGCATGGTTGAGCAAAAACAACAAAAGGTCCGACCCAAGACCTTGACAAAGTGCATCCTACGAAATCAGTAACGCAGTTTTGCCATGTAACTTCAATCCTCCAAATTCCTCCACTTTGGCAAAGAGGATTTTGAAAGATTCAGGGCGGTTGGGATTAAAATGGCTGGACTCGAGTCAGAAAAATCAGTAACTCGTTACAACTCTGGTTAGCACAAGTATCAGCGATCATCTGTTTTATATTTCTTTCTTTTGTGTGATATGAAAGGTTTTGTAGCTCTTCTTGACAACTATGAGACAGCCACCGGTGTATCCGAGGTTGTGACCCCTGAAGAGATTGCCGAGAATAAACGCTTCCTGAATGAGATCATGAAAACAAAAGTAAGATAAAGAGCCAGTATTTACTCTTTCCTTTCCAATGTAAAAAAAATGTGTTACTTTGTTTTTTAGAGGACTAACTCCACTAGCAGCAACAGACAATAACACCAGGCATTAGTCTGCACTGAGGCAGAATCTTTATACAAATTTCCAATTTAAGTTTTCTTAGCAAGGTGTTTCACAAGAAGTGAGTTAAAGGTAGAGTAGATCATTTGCAGCTATCCAAAAAGTAACTGACAAATTATTGTTGAAAAGCTTACTTGGTTTATAAAAAAGGATACTAATGGCACTTAAATCCCTGTGAAATTATTCTTTCTTGCATGCTGTCATTTTGAAGAAAACAATAAAAGAGGGCCATTTCCAAAGATGCGTTTATTAGACGGGTTTTTGGAAATTTCCGTAAGTAGTTCGTTTTTAATTCGGCGAAGCTGTGAATGGGTGTGCGCAAGCATGGACACGATGCACGCACATGCGCTGTTGCTATAATTTGTCAGTTCAGTGCGTGACAATGCGTAGCTGCAATCGGCTGAATGAGAACGTGTCCCGGATGCTGATTTCGGGCGCAATTCAAAATATGACTCTGCAACTTTTGAATTGAAATCTAGATACTAGACTATTGTTTTCTCAGAATATTAAGCATTCACTGAGCTAAAACTTCATCAGGTTAGTTGTTAAGCACCCGTCTTTAGATTATGAGCACTTTTATTGCTTCAAACGAACAAAAAAAATGTACGAATGACAAATGATACTGAATGCACGAATGACATATGTACTCTACCTATAAATTAGTTCAACATTGACATGGTGGTTAGATTTTTGGATTTTTTCGCCAAGTAAGAGTAAATATATAAATGTCTTCTCTTTGCTTTCTTAAAGTTATTTTGGACGATTTGAACTATAAAGACAATTAGAAACTGTAGTTGCTTGTAAAAGCCCTACATTTTGTGTGAATATTGAAATCATGAAATTCAACGAAACAATCTGAGAGTATTATTTAATTGAATAACATACATTGAGATGTCTAATTTTGCGTGATTTATTTTTCAGGTGATGAAGGAGGCTCATCACTATCTTGTCAAACAGTTTCCTTCCAAAATCCCCAAGGATGATCTGGAGTTTAAGAAGCTGTTGTACAAACTGTGGTTTGATCTGTATCCCAGAACCAAGGGCATGAGGGGCAAGTAAGTATATCAGGCCAAATATTTCATGTGAAATAGCTTTGTGTTCCACCTGTAGTAGAATTCTAAGTCCAGGCCAAATGAGTCCGGAGTCGAGTCACGAGTCACCTTTAATATATATTGGAAATAAATTTTGAGTTACTGCTGAAACCTCACAGTGTAAGTGTCTAACGTTTTTCCAGCTTGTCTCTAATCTAATGACCTGGAAATACATTTAACAATTGTTGACTGCTGTGATGTGGGATATGACGTTTTGAACACCCAAGGGGCGCATAGCATACATCTGTCTTGGATTCTTTGGATTTTGATGTAAAACTGCAGTAAACACAATAATGACAATCGAATGTCAACTCGCATGCATGCATGTCGTGTGCTAGAAACAGCTGATCGTCTGCTAGTTTGCTGAGTGGGAGACTCATGTGTGAAAACCTGGTGAAAATAGCGTGGGTACCAACGATACAAGCATTTTACACGTACGTACTGTACATACAAATTCATAGCACACTCCCTGTGGTACGTGATATCCCACAGGGAGTGTACCATGACTTTTTAAAAAGTAACAGATGATCGTTCTAGGCCAATGAAAATACAGTATTCAAGGTGTAACAAGTATTGTTGATGTCCCCCTACGTTGCGCCGCCCCTTACATGGCGCACTTTGATTTTTCGCCTGTGGCACTTTGTTAGAGCAAACGTTTTACCTGAAAAATTTCATCAGGCTCCAAATATACCCGGTCATAATTCCTGGGTTTACCTGTACCTGTTTACAAAATTAGCAGAGAAATTTGTTTTGGCATTATTTTCCTGTTTTATTTCAAAGTGCACAGTGAACACTTTAAAAATGCGACCAAAAAGAAGAAAATAATTTGGTGACAAACTTCTAGTTGGGTACGAGTGGAAAGTTAGTAATAGTGTTATCAGAATTTTTCAACTTGGAAGAAGTTCTTAAATCAAGCACACATTTTTGCCATAAATAGCCTCAATCCTGCAAAATCCTCCATTTTGCAAAGAGGATTTTGGAGGATTCGGGAAGGTTAGAGTAAAAGCTAGACATTGTTATCTATCACCAGACCTGGCGACTCATCTGGTTTTGAACACGTCTTTGTCGGTGAGAGTAAAGATGGTGAAGTGACTGGCTTCCATAACTGGATTCAGTTCTATCTCCAGGAGAAGGCTGGACACGTGGATTACAAAGGCTGGGTACCCCCAAGAGGAAAGGTATGTCCAGTACAAGCCGTTGACGGACAGACCATGCAAAGCTTACTTAGTAGATCTATTCATAAATACAGTTTATCCATTCCTATTGGTCGAGAAGTGTAGGGGTTTGGGGGAGTGTGGCCTAACGGTTAGGGTTCGTGACTCATAATCAGAGGGTCAGGGGTTCAAATCCAGCTGCTGGCCATACATTGTGTCCTTGGGCGAGCCACTTCATCCCCACTTGCCTCTCTCCACCCAGGAGTATAAATGGGTACCGGTATTAGCTGGGAGTAACCTGCGATGGACTAGCATCCCATCCCAGGGGGAATAGAAAAATTCTCAGTCGTTTCATGCCAAGGAAACCTGAGGTAAATATCGGCCTGATGGGCCATATTGGCTCGGGACAGACTTTACTTTTTATTGGTCGAGAATCCATCACGTGGGTGGTTTTAAACGATTGATAGAACACCGACTGGCTAGTTTTAAACACTTTTCCAGATGTCACATGAAATTTGGACTCCTATCATGAAATCTGGTATCTTTTTTGGGTTGAACGCTCACATGACCAGTTACTCTCCTAATTATCTTCACTAAGGCATGCACAATACTAAATCCGCATTTCATAGAGTCCTAAATTCACACTACACTGGCACCGTTTGTTCCAGTCCTATGTTGGCGGCTCCCCATTTAGCCAACAGTTTGTTCAAGGGGCGCTAGTCATAAGCCCTTATGACTAGTGCCTCCGTAGGTCAAAGTTTCAGACCCCGCTCCATTCATTTCTTTGATCAACCTTAAAAAAGTGATTGATTTCTTGAATTCTTTGACAGAGGGTAAAGAGGGGAGAATCTCAAGAGAACAAACGCCTGATGAGTCTGCAGTTCACATGGAAAGGTGACATCAAACCTGTAGGCAGCTCCTTCATTGGCACCAGCCCCGAGTTTGAGGTAATGCTTCTGAAAGCAAAGTATCATATTCGTTTGTTTATCCTTCGGACTTTGGGGAATATTCCTGGGTGTGTCCGTGAATAGGGGACATTGAACAATACAGGACAATAGGGTCCCCAATTCCCGAGAGGTCCCCAATTTGGATTCGTGTACAATACATATGGAAGGTCTTCCTAAAAAGTTAGGGTACAAACAAAAGAGGGACAATAGGGGGTCCCCAATTACAGGCAAATACACACTTGTGTGTGTGAGTATGTAATCACCAGCAATCTTGGGCTAGGGACAAAAAGCTTAGGGCACAAACAATATGTCCACGATTGACCGATAGTCCACGATTGAAATTCGTGTACAAAACCAGTGAGAGCTGTTGCTAAAAAGAGTACAAACAAAGGAATGAGGATTATGGACAATAGGGGGTCCTCGATTGCCGGTGTTTACGAAAATGGGCGTCTGTTTATGGTGTAAATCGAGGACACACGCGTGCAACATCATCTGTGAATCGAGGACAGGAACCAAATCGAGGACATCCTCGATTAGAAAACATTGTCGAAACCAATGAGAGCTGTTGCAAAAAAAGTTTAAGTACAAACAAAGGAAAAAGGAAGAGGAACAAAAGAAAATCCTCTAATTACGCCATAAACAAACGTGCTAGTACGTGGGTGTGTATGTGTTCCATTACACTATAAAGTTCAGTCATCAATCTCAACCAAACTTGAAAGGTGGTTTTTGGAGAGAAGGCCGACGTCAAACAAATCCTTTCAGACATGCAACTTTTCCTCGGATCAGCTGATTTCCTCTTTTTTTAATTACCATTTCTGCCATTCAAAATTGAAAAACACTGTACAAAGTCTTCTGAATTTTGGAATTTCCTCTTTTTGGGGGAAATTTACAGTTGCATGCCTGTCCTTTCCAATATTGATACTTTTGAGGTCTCTGGAGAGACACTAATGACCCTAGCATATGTTAGTCTGGTGTCTCAACCAAACTCTCCATTCAATTTAAAGGTTTAATGATCTGTTGCTCTTTTCCCATGTGATTCTCAAACAGGTGGCTCTGTACACGGTCTTGTACTTCCTAGGAAAGAAGAGCTCCATGATTGAGATGGATGAGTACGACTTGGAGATAACAGTCCATACATTTGACAGGAAACCCATGAACATTCTAAGTAGTTCATATCCAACAATGATTAATACTGATTAAGTATTGACATTGGTCTGCCATGATGGCTAGTCTCCTTTACAGAACTTCTGAAGACTGTTACGATTGGATCCAATAATGTTTGTGACTTAACTCAAGTTCAGTTACAGGGTGTAGGGGATAACCCATTAGCACTTGTATTACAATGTATTACATTGTATTTGTACAATGATAAATCTGTAAAACCATATATTGTAGGAGAAGTTTTGGCAGGTACAGGGAGTAACAGGTTATTGGGGCATTTTTTTTTACGGCCTGAAATCCCCGAAAATTTCATGTTTTGGATTGTTTACTTACTCTATTGCAAAAGTCTGGTTGAAAGGAAACTAACCTAATGTCTTTCCTGAAAAAAAGACGAAAAACCTGGTTGTTTTCATCGGACGCGACGGAATTTTGTTGGCATACACATTCGTATTTCAAGTCGTATCTATTCAATGTATCATACACGTTCTGTGTGAATATCAAATACACTCGGTACCAACACACGAAATGTTATTTCTTACACGTCTGCAGAATGCGATACCGTGCAGCTGGATTCACAACTAGCACTCAACAGCTCGATTTTTCGGAGTCAAAATTGTGACCCCCAAAATTCGATCTCGCATGGCTTGCAAAAATAACACAAAAAAAGTTTTTTAAAGGACGGTTTTGTGGACATATATATATTCTTCTTTTAAATGCTCTTCCCAGTTAATCTTTTCATCGTTTCGTTTGAAACGCGTTTTGTAGCCCAATTGGGTGCATTCCAGGCTGTAATGTCCCTGTAAGAAATTACCTTGCCCCACAATTCTCTTTTTTTTGGGGGGGGGGGTGAACATTACTCACATTCTGTGGATTTTCCCAAAATTTCAAAAAATATAAAAATGTTCATAATTTTCTCCAAAAACATTTCACACAAATTTCTTAACCAGATTGGTTTCCTGATTGGTTTTTGACCAAGAACCTGTCGAAACTTGCTCTTAATTTAAAAAAAATGTAACATTATTGTACAATGTACAATTGACCACACAGGTACTTAAGTTATGCATAGTTGCTGTTTTTCATCAGCTATTAACAAATTGAATCATTTCAGTACATTTAAAAATATAACACTCTATCAAGAAAAGTACATCAAACATGTTGCCTTCAACTCCTATTCTTTAGGGTAAGTTTACTAAAGTGTACTGTTTAATATTTCAACAATTCATTACTTTTTGAAAAGTAAACTATTTTGTAATTGATCAGAAAATGATATATGGATAAAAACGTATTAAGTCCATTTTTACTGTGAAACGAGAACAATTCAATGTATTTTTCTATTGTACAAGGGTATTTTTGCTCTACTGTGAACAATGGTGAATCATGCACAATGTATGCTGATGTGTTGGGAAAACTACAATCCCGGCCAAAATGGTTGGGATGCTTGGAAATAACCTTAGGCTCCCACGGTCACCCACTCCCCCGCTCCCCCGGTCAATGTTGTTCTCTCCAGCTGATGGAGCACACACCGCGCAGAGACAACATTGAGTGGGGGCTGGGGGATTGCAGGCCCAGCGAGATTTGGCCAGGATTGTAGCTTGATCTTTTGAATTTGAATCCTGAATTGGGTTTGAAAGAAGGAATTATATGTATGAAATCTTTGCGTATGACATGATTGTCCAAACAAGTTTTTTTTTTCTGTTTAAGGTAATTGAGGTAATTATTAATATTAAAGATAAAATGAATTTCTACCATTTGGTATGTGGGTTTTTTGTGTAAAGTGAACATTTTGGTTAAGACGGAATTTCAAATTAATAATAATGTTTTAGGCACATGCTAAACTGTTAAATGAATCTTTCATTTCGGAGGGATCCGGGTAAAACAATTCCTTAAAAAAGTAAGACAAATGTACTCATTTATGTGATTATTTTACTTCTGCTTGTGGAATGAGATTCCATTTAAAAATCTGTAATAAAGATTTCATTTTGGTAAACCCTGCCAAAAAAAATTGCTGAAAGCTTAGTTGACGTTTATTACTGCAGTATAAAGGCAGCAAAAATGGACCAAAACATTTCAGGAGGTTTAAAAACAGGATATACATCGTTTCATAATTTCCTATGCAGTTGCTGTAAGGTAGATAAGTCTAGATTTCTTCAGTTTGTAATGATTTTGTCCTTAGCCTGAGGGTGATACCGTCTGTCAAGTGACTGTGTGAAACAAGTACAGACTTTTGCTCTAGCAGTGTTTGGGACTTGTGACAATATGACAGAATTCTGTCATATAACAGTATGACAGAACTTCTGTCATATGACAATATGACAGAACTTTTGCCATATGTCAGTATGACAGAACTTCTGTCATATGACAATATGACAACATATGTCACGTGACAATATGATAGAACTTCTGTCACATGACATATGACAGAACTTTTGCCATAATATGACAGAACTTCTGTCAGATAACAATATGGCAGAATTTCTACCATAATATGACAACTACCATATTACAAAATGACTGAACTTCTGTCATATGACAATTTGACAGAACTTCTGCCATATGACGTAATTTGGGTCTTGCCAATGAATTTTGCCAACTTGTATTTTACCTCAATTTTCATACCTGGAACACTTTAATTCCTCTTCATGTCTGGGAGGTGTTTACTGTCTTAAGGCGGAATAAATGTTTGTAATTTAGATTGGTTATTTCAACTGATGGACAGGTGTTTTACATGTAAATGTCATTCTCACGAATGCTGCGCATTGTATTATGATTATACGGGCGGATCCAGATCGCCGGTTACCGTGGGGGGGGGGGGGGGGAATTTTGTGCACTTTATTTTTCTACATAAATTTCATATTTAACTGCCTGGGGGCTTCTCTCCCAACAATGATTATCAAAATGTCGTAAAACCTGTGACTGACGGTGTGCATTTCTGCCATGGGGTCATACAGATTGAATCTCCTATTATATTGGGTATGTTATAAATAAACAGTCAAAAACTGATGTATGTCAAAGAAAACTAGCTGAATAATCATTACATCCTGTATTCATGTTCGATTTACAATTCATCTATGTGATGCCACTTGTTGAACAAAAAAAAATTGCAACCACATTATGAGTGACATTGGAAACTATTCAGAAACAATCTAACCGTTAATTATTTCAATTAGCCAGCGAATATTCTATCAAGCACTTAGAGAAATTCGTCTGTATGGTGTGCGGTCACTGAAGACAAAATAAGATTATGTTAACAAGAAATTCAATTTCAACAATATCTTCGAGACAGCCTGTTGTGAATACTTGACATTCCACTGGCTCTAAAGAAAGGTGATTTTTTTTTTATAATGTTCAAATTATGAACAAAGTTGTTTGCAGTACAATAGACCCAAATTCATTGTTGCTTTAAGCTGTTCCAGTCACTTTGCAACTCCCCCCTGTTTGGTCATGGCCTTTAACTCTATGTACTAACTGGTGATGGAAAACATTAATGTTTGAATTTTTATATGAATACTTTTACTTGTGGGTTTGGGAATATTTTGGTAATAAAATTGCAGTTATTATCATCATTCTTGCCATTTGATTGTTTTATTCAGCCTCTTTCATAATTAGGAATCATTCTGATGGGGTATTTCTTCAACTCACTATTTTGTGATTCGGTTGTGTTTGTTGTTAGATGTACTTGTTGTACCTTCTGTTTTGGTTTTCTCTGCTTGTTGGAAGGATGCCTTGCCAAAATATTGAGGATATGTCACGACCCTTAGATCCAAGCTTAACCATGTACAGCATGGCAATTAAAAACCTGCATGCCGTCTGAACAGTCACAGACAGTCAAAAAATCACTCCTCATGCTTTTACACAGGCTATAGTCACCATTAGTCAGATCACATTTCTGGTAAGCAATCAGACAAGTCAAATTCAGTCAACAGACAAAAGCAGGCAACTGGTAGGCACAGCTGGCTTATCAATCGGCGGCAGTCAAAGCATAGCTGTATCAAGTTACATAAACAGTCACAGCCAGTCAATCCTGCTTTCTGTAAGCTAGTCGATCTGGGAGCTCTTAACTGTTAAAAACAGTCACTTGATTGATTTCGACTGAAAGGACAACTTCACCTAGAATGTATGTTTACATACGAGGGTTTAGGTATGCAATAATGTTTGAGCAGTATTTGGCGGTCTGTACAGGGCCAGGGCTACCAATGTTCTATCCAAGGGCACCAACCAGCTGGAGAGAGTATTCTCTTTTGATCATTGGGTGCATCAATTTAAAGGACACCATATCTAAAGAGCAGGTGTTTGGATGTTTGTTTGTTTGTTTGTTTACTAGTTTGTTTGCTTGTTAATTGTTTGCTAACTTGTTTTGTAATGCTAGTTGTATTAAGCATATGGGCCTACTTCCGGCCGGACGTTTCAGTGTGGCGAACACGGATGTGAAATGTATGCATCACCATTTATTTTAGCTAACAAACGCGCAGTTGATGACAATACGTTTCGATGAAATTAGCGCACTTTTATTTACTTTGTAAATTCGATGGAAAGTATATGAAAGTCTAGTCTAATAAGTCTTCTTTTTTAATTAATTAAACGGTTAAAACAATGCCCAGTTTCTCGAAATGGTTGCCAAGATAATTATAGCACGAACTACAAGTTAAGTACATTAAAAACGTTCAGTTATAGAGTGCTGCGTGCAATACCTTCTACACCACCAATTGTTAATGTCACCGGCCACTTCTGTACGGAGTGAAAGTTTCATTTTCTCTTAGCGGAAATCCCTTAAAATGGACAGAAAGGGGGAATTTTTGTGACACTTCGACATTTCGCTAGTCATCTTAAGAGTCTCTGACAGTAGTTTAGACATCATATGGCAACAATGGACATCAGGCCGGGCCGCAACACCAATGTGAGGGTGAACATGATGGAGGGTGTCGGAGCGAGAGTTGTCCGTGGACCCGACTGGAAATGGGGCAAACAAGACGGGGGCGAAGGGCACGTAGGCACGGTCAGAAGCTTCGAATCCCCGGAGGAGGTTGTGGTTGTGTGGGACAACGGGACGGCAGCTAACTACCGCTGTGCTGGGTCGTATGATCTGAGGATTATCGACAGTGCCCCCACAGGTTTGGGAAAAAAATATATGCCTTGTTTTGTAGTGGCAATTCAAGGTTTAAGTTATACATGTTATACGACATTGCCTGATTGCAAAAAACCATCATGACCGTTCACCATTGCGAATCTGTATCACATTTAACCGGTAACTGCACTTAAGTTTTAACCAGATCACTTTTGGTAGCTGTAGTGTAGTAGTGGCTATTGTTACGACGGCATAAGGCGATTCTATTTTCAACTTTTATCGTTAAGGCATTGCAAAAACTAGCTTGAGTAACTCCAGCTCCAATGCTCATCAGGAATTTGACATAGGCCTATAGAGCTGGAACGACAACTATGTTATAAAAACTAGATCGTAATAATCACGAATGACGCGACCGTATATCCTGAGTGCATTACAAAAATGGTCCCTTTTCCCTCTGTTATCCCAACCCAGATTCCATAATATGTACCTCATACCATGCAGCAGACATTCATGAAGCTAATAATCGACTTCAAACAGTACAAGAAAGACTAAAATATGACATTTTTGGATGATTTTGACGGCGATTTTTCACAAAACCTCCACTCACACGCCTGTCGTACATGTCTTCTGTATGTATCATGAATACCCATGAAGTGTCGCGTGATCACAATAGATTTTCGAAATTGCTCCACCCACTAGTCACACTAGTCACCGCTGTTTCGGCCGTTGTGAAAAGCGAAGAACGGCTGTGCGCATGTGCCACTTTTACAGCCAGGTCAAACAAAATGCATAAATCATGACCATGACCCACTGGATTTTCAGTGACAAAACCTGTATGCGAATAAAGATGAGATTATTATTCAGTACTTGGTTGTGGAGGCTCATATTTTACATGGACAGAGAGTTGGATAATGTGGCAAATTTCTCCAACAAGTTTGGAGTCCGTTGACCAAATGAACTTGCTATAAATCCAGGGACAAAATAAAACAAAAAATGCCCGAAAAAAGATAGGCCATGGCCCACTGACGTTTTGCATCACACTTTAAAGGTATAGTCCATCATTTGCAGCCATCCGAAAAGTAACTGGCGTAATTATAGTTGAAAAACAAACTTGGTTGAAAGATAGTAAGGGGACTAAACTCCCTGTGAAATTATTCTTTCTGGCAAGCTGTCATTTTGAAGGAATCAACGAAAGAAGGCATTTCCAACGGTGATTCTTAAGAAGCACCGTAGGAAAATTTAAATTAGTAGTTTGTTTTGTTATTCAGCGCAGCGCGCACAAGTATTGGAACGACGCACACGCGCGCGCGGTTGTTATAATTCGTCGGATCATTGCGCGACGTCGCGTATAGCTGCAATTCAAAACAATTCAAAACATGATTCAGTAACTTTGGATTTGAAATTGAGATCTTAGAATGCTGTTTTTCTCGGAATGTACAGCTGAAGCTTAGCTGAAACTTCATCAGGTTAGTTGCTCAGTATCCTTCATTAGATTTTGAACACTTTTGTTGCTTCAAACGAACAAAATGCACAAATTACAAATGATGGACTGTAGCTTTAATACAAGTTAGTTATTACCGGTAGCTGTATTGTAATGTCAAGAAACAGAGGTTCACAAAACCATAGAGCTAGAACGCCATGGTCCAGTGGTTACGGTGTTTGACTCATGTACGAAGGTGCGTGGGTTCGAACCCTGCCAGGAACATGGTGTTTGTGCCCTTGGGCAAGACACTTAACTACAATTGCCTCTCTCCACCCAGGAGTATGAATGGGTACCTGCGAGGGTCGAGGACCGATTGAGTGCCGATATTGGCTGCCGCGTGGTCCCATTGCCTGATGAACGGGGTAATAATTGTAAAGTGCTTTGAGATCGTTGATACGATACGATTGAAAGCGCTATATAAGCACAATTATTATTAAGGAGTTCGAACCCCAAGACTTGAAAAGTATTAGGATGGTCACCACGCTCGAAAGCTACAATAGAAAGCACCTGGCGGCCAGCTTGCTCAGTTGCTCACTACACTAATTTCTACACAATAGAGATCTGTGTTCACTAATGCTAGAAGAAAGAGTTTGCATTGCTTTGTAGACAGTACCATGGTAGATACGCATGCGCAGTTGTCATACATCGCCAAAAATGAATGATTTTGAACTGTTTGTTCGCAGTTGGATAATATTGTATATCAATGTGGTCAACATCACTGAAACAATCATTTCATGACAAACAAAATGCTCTACACCTTTAGTATGAAAACTTGTGAAATTTCCCAAAAAATCACATTTCCAATTTATCCAATTTATCTTCAAATTACAAGGACAGATAGCGCTTTCAAGGACCAACAACTGCACATCGATAAATTGAATTAATAACTCACATCTAACAACTGCGCAGTTGTTAAAACCTATCTTGTTTTAAAATATATTTTTCTAAAAAGAGCAATGACGTGACATGACTTATTATGCAGCATATATAGGGAGGTTGTTGGTTACCAACTAAAAAGGCGGCGACGATCATCGTGTTCAAAGGCTGCTTGCAGTCACGCAATGAATGGTCCAGGCTTGCGGTCACAGTGCTTTAGCTATGGACATTCCCGAGGGATTGGAATGTTAATGGTCAAAATGTAAATCGCCCAAGAGTTCTGACTCCTTGGGTCCTAGCTCTATGACAAAACTACATCTGCAATGGAGTACTGAAGTGTGACGTCATTTAGAACCAGAACGAATGGAGTATGAGCGCATGTTGGTTCTCGGGCTGAATCACGCGCTAATGTCTTTTACACACATTTTGTGTGTGTGATGTATTCACTTCGGTACTCCATTGTGTATGAACTGCTTTTAACTTACTGTAACTATTAAGAAAGCAACGACTTGTGTCACTATACATTTTTGATACATTATTACAGTCTTTCAATATTGATTCGCCGATGGTTTGCACAAATTGGCTTTAAAAGTGTGTCCCTACATAATACCTCAAACTTCAAGTCTTCACACTATCACCTAGACATTGGTCTGAACTTGTTACAGGAGTCAAGCATGATGGCACCATGTGTGATACCTGCCGCATGCAACCTATCTACGGCATCCGCTGGAAATGTGCTGAATGTCCCAACTACGATCTCTGCACTGCCTGTTACCATGGTGATAAGCATCATCTCCGACATCGCTTCTACCGCTTCAATGTGGCGACCAGTGAGAGGTCAGTATAGACCATGTGACTTTTGTTTACAAAATGGATGCTGTTGTCACATGACACCAACTTCAGCAAATGGAACTTTTTTGCACTGCATATATCTTTTGAAATATGAAAGGTTTAAAAGCTTTGAAATACTGTTTAAACTCCCTCGGCCTTTTTGCTAGGATGTAGCCTCAATCCTGCAAAATCATCCAATTGGCCTCATGGAAAAATGTAGCCTCAATCCTGCAAATTCCTCCATTCTTTCTCGAACATGGTCCATGGAGGGGTGACCACTGCCTGAATCCTGCAAAATCCTGCGGCAGTGACTGTCAATCTGTTGAGGCTTGGCCAGTGACATCCTGGAGCAGGCGTTCATCACAATAATCATTTTAAAGGACCTAAGTACAATCAAATGAAGGTTTGTTCATGCTCAGTGTAAAAGTGAACACAAATATGTATTCATGACATTACAGCAAGTATTCCCTCTGAAAATATCTAGAAATTGATCTTATTTCATCTCTGGCAAAATGTTTCATGATACATGTTATCTGCAAATTCTGTAATAAATAATTTTCAAATTTTGTTTTTCTCTTAAAGAGTTGGTTTGGAGCCACGGCGCAAGAGCAAGAAGATCATGGCTCGAGGGATCTTCCCAGGAGCCCGTGTGGTTCGAGGGGTAGACTGGGAGTGGGAGGATCAAGACGGAGGCAGCAGTCGTCGGGGGAAGGTCACCGAGATACAAGACTGGAGCTCTACTAGTCCCCGCAGCGCTGCTTATGTCCTGTGGGACAATGGAGCCAAGAACTTGTACCGTGTTGGATATGAGGGCATGGTGAGTTTAGTCAATTGTCTGCCTGAGGACAGACAAGCACAACTTATTCTATTAATTTTTGTTTCTTGGTTAGCTCTTCTCTTAAATACTCCGCGTGGGAGTTTAAGAGGAGGCCAGAAACACTGGGGCAAACCCCTTCTCTTAGCGATAAGTGTTACTGGGTTCTTTTACGTGCATTGCATTACACAACACAGGGGACCTACGGCTTTATGTCCCATCTGAAGGACGAAGCAATAGTGGTTAAGTGCCTTGCTCAAGGGCACAAGTGTCCGCCGGCGGGCTCGAACCAGTGTTGTAGTCGAGACCGGATAGTCCGAGACCGAGACCAAGACCGAGACCTGAAGCTGCGAGACCGAGACCGAGACCAGCCCCTTCAAGGCGGACCGAGACCGAGACCGAAATGGTCCGAGACCGAGACCGAGACCGCGGATAATAAATAACAATAATCTAAATAAAAAAAACAAGACACTAATTACAGCTGAACAGTCTGTCCTTGAGATGTTGATGTTCATGGGGATGTGAAGGAAGTGATTGAAAGTTAGGAATCACTTGTACCTGCTTAATTGTGTCATGCGAGTGCTCTTCGTGTTTGCTTCGTGCCATAAATTACAACATGGCAACAGAATTTGTTATTGTCACAATCAATTAAAAAAATATTGTTTAACTACTATAAAGTGTAAATCTGATGAAGAAACTCTAACTTAGGAGTACGACAATTTGTACTAGTTTTTGCAAAACTTGAACATGTTGAAACTTGACAAAAGTAAAAAGTTAAAGGTGGATGTTTCATCTGTTGTGGGAACTCGGACCCTAAACTCCAGAGCCAGCCCTTGGTTTCAGCAATGACCACTAACGGATATTTAAATGCAACTTTAATTTTACATTGGACCTCCTTGTAAACCTGATTCGAAAACAATTTGGAGCAAGAAAATATTGATTTATTTTTTTAAATTTCAGTCATGGAATATAGACTTGTACATGTAGACCCAAAAATTGAGAGGTGGTAGCCAGAGAGGCCTGGCTTAGGCTGAAATGTAATGCCACTTTATTTGTGTATAATGTCAATACCATTACATACACTATAGAAGTTTGATGAACCATATTTGCCTGATCTATCTTCTGTTAATCTGCCCGCCGTCATCATCGCCTATTGGAGAATATGGCCGACACAATAGAAGGGCGCTGTCACAAACTGAATGTGGTGGGCGAGATGTACATGTACTTTTAGGATTCATGGCTGCGTGCGCACGCCTATTTTGTGTTTTGTACCAGCGTATCGCCCGCATCGGCTACTATGCCGGGCGATTTACTGAAATATTTTAGTAATTTACAAGTACATGTACAACATATTGCCAATATTTCATTCGTTTATTGTGATGGCCGTAAACAGCATTTAGCGATTAATGGAACAAAAGTCTTGCAAACGCAATTGACATTTAGAAAGGAGACAAGGCAGGCAAATAGACTCTATTTTTGTGTGACTATGGCAGTAGCTCAATTTGTGTTTATCACAGATGAAAAGATGAATACATGGCGAGTCAAAAAGAAAGTGACAGTATGATAAAAAAAAGAAAGAAATGGCACCCTCCATTTCATAAAAAAATATGATTGGGATAAAGAACATGTTATTGAGTAGTAACTCTGAAAATTTCACGTAATTTGCATTCTCTATTCCCAAGTCGTGTCTATTTTAATAAAGAGATCACAAAATTCAGCTGTCCACCACTAATAGCAATTTAACGGTCTACGAATTGATGAATATCCATTAATAAATATAATGAAAAAAAAATGTTTCCCACCTCCACGAATAAAGGAAAAATTGAAAAGGAAAATAGAAAAAAATCACCAATATTTCTGGGGAATAAGAGTTGAATTGTTTCCCATATTAAGAACAAAAAATCTGACGGTAAGAATAATGTTTCAATCTTGATTCATAAGATTTTAATCCCAGTTGTATTTGGAATCAATGAGGATGGCTATAAAGTGCTTGTTTCAACAGATCATCCCACAATAAAAACGAGAAATAAGAAGAGGAGCAATGGTTGTTGGACTATGCCTCACTCACTAGAAAGTGAAGAGAGACATGTCCATTAGCATCACACTGCAGTCACATTTGCCCTCAACTTATTCTTTATTTCATCCTAAACTGGGGCCGAGGCGGAATCCACCCCCTCACTTTTTGGCTGGTCTCGACTCGAGACCGGCCAAAATATCGAGACCAAAGGGGACCGAGACCGAGACCAAGACCGAGACCACAGCTCCCGAGACCGAGACCGAGACCGAGACCGGCAAAAAGTGGTCGCGAGACCGAGACCGAGACCGAGACCGGTCTCGAGACCTACAACACTGGCTCGAACCCACGCCACTGTTGCCTCTGAAACACCAGAGCATGAGTCTTGGTGCTCTTTACCGCTAGGCCTCTATACATCAGATATTTATCAAAAATAATCTCAGCATCAGATATTTATCAAAAGTAATTTCAACTCTAGGTAACCACTTTTGATAGACTGGTTCCCGCTTTCATAATATGGGGACCGGTAGCTAGTTCCCATTTAAGGCCATTGATTGGATCGCCTGAGCGCGAGCGCAGTAAGATTTTTTAATTTTTGAAAATGATGTTTACAGCTTTGCAAATGGATGACAGTTGAACACGTGGCTATCAAAAAACTGACTCTTACCATAACAAGTAGGCAACATCGCTAGTGTTTCCACGAAGGTAATTTTCAAGGTTTTCAACTGCATAGGTTTCAAATACTGAAACGCAGTGCCCCTCTCTTTATTGATAGTTGCCAGAGACACTTTCGAATTCAGCGAAAATTGAAACTCATCAACCCACAAACTGCCCATTATTGGTAGCCTTGTTGCCATTTTGCAATAGGCTGGTTCCGCACTTCCATTATCTTTGTGATTTTGTATTCAGGGCCGGGATCAGACCTAGTTGCATTATGGGTAATCTTCCTTGTCTTGCATATAATTTGCATACATAAGGAGGAAATCCAAACGAGTGAATATTAATTGAATACACTTGTCAAGTTTGATTTTATTTTTGTGTTGTTTAACTTTGCAGTCCGATCTGAAGGTGGTCAGTGATGCGAAGGGAGGCACATTCTATCGTGATCACTTGCCGTGCTTAGGTAAGTCATAGTGCCTCTGGATTTCGTGTTACTCTACTGTCATGTACAAATATCCATGGATCACCATAGAGTTGTGAAATAATGAGAACACTGTCTTGCATCTTGAAAGACAGTTTAATAGATATTTAACAATTGTCGACTGCTGTGACGTGTGATATAGCGTTTTTAACACCAGAGGGGTGCATAGCACTGGAGGCGAAGTGCCTTGAGGGGTTAAAAACGATATCACTGCCCTCAATTGTTGTGTTATATCTTGCCAATAAGTCAAAAAGATAAAGGTTTTTAACTCATCCTTCAAGAAATAAGCTTTTGATGACGTGAGCTTTCCTGCTAGACGTGAGATCGAGAGGTTGCAGTTCTCTGTTGCGAGGTGCACGGGCCCTTTACATGCATCCTTCACGCGCGCGAAAATTGAACAAAGAAATAGACTGGAGTGGGGCTTGAACCTGCGACCTTCGGATTGCTGTACCGTTGCTCTACCAAATGAGCTATCCAGCCCTATGTTGGCAGTTCCCCAATTTGTCAATATCTTTGTTCAAGGGGTGCTAGTCAGAATCCATAAACCAGTATGCCATGCAACCAGGGATCACGCCCAAAGTCACGATACAGACCTGGGAAATAGCAAACGGGGATCACTCGGAGAGAATACGGCTTTTAAAAGTTGATGTTTGTCAATGAAATTACGGTATTCATGACACTAAATAACAATTGCATTTTTGCGTGAGTGGAGCAAGACTCTTCACAATTAAAGCATGTGGCAGAATGGCTATGCATGCAATTTTCAAAAAATAAACCTTTCTCAGGGTACGCCATCTTGAAAAACAAAGCGAGTCCTATAACGCATAGTGTGTGCGGTGAACGAGTGACTCTCGCAAAGTGACAGCAGATTGACAATATTGAAGAATACATGAATGGAAAGCTCTAATTCCCCGAAACATCAATCAACATTCTAGGTAGGTCACGTAAGTGCCCTCCTAAACAGGTGCAATTTGTGCGGAAATGTCGCGGATGGAACAGTTGAAAATAGAAAATCTTATATTGATGTTACTCCCATGGCGGTTGTACTACACGAAAACTAATACGGAAACTTCTGTTCGGCCACTGGTTTTGGGCTATATATTTATAAAGTCCTTCAAAATACAATAAGACGTGACCTAGAATGTTGATTGATGTTTCAATGAATTTGAGCTATTAGTCAATTTATAAGATTGTCAATCTGCTGGGCAAGATTACCATATGCGAAGTTCACTAATTTTCCTCTGTATTGACTAACAAGCCCCCAGATAGCAATTTCATGTCATCAAAGTCAATTTGAGCAGTGAGAAAATACAAGCATTTTCTTAGAAAACACTTAGAATTTTTCAGTCCACTCTCATAGGGTTTGTACACAGAGTGTTGAGTGAACTTCGTATATGGAAATCTTTCCATCTGCTGTAACTTTGCGAGAGTCACTCGTTCACCACACACACTATTTACGTCACCGTGTTTGTTTGTGTTATATGCCTTGCTTTGATTTTCAAGATGGCGTAGCCTGAGAAAGGTGCACTGTAACTGCTCTGCAGTGACACAAAAGTTTAATACACACTAATACCCGGACAGTTCACCATGCCATAATCATCTTCAAGGGTATGTGTTGTCGATATCAGCGCACGTTTGGTCCTCTAACCTCACAGGTACCCATTCATACCCCTGGGTGGAGAGAGGCAACACCATGTTCCTGGCAGGGTCAAACGCACACACCATCGTACATGAGTCAAGCACCGTAACTTATGGACATTAGCATTCTCAATCCTGAAAAACCCTCCAGGTCAGGCTTAAAATGACCTAAATTTGATAGATTTTCTGTCTGTATATTTCAGGTGAGCAAGGGCCAGGCAGCCGAGGGGTGCATGGTCTGTATGCCTTGGGCGATCAAGTCAATGTGGATTTAGACCTGGAGATAGTACAGAGTCTGCAACATGGGCACGGTGGCTGGACAGACGGCATGTTTGAGGTAATACAACTCCACTTGGTTATGTCATGGTATTAGATTGTGAAATTTCATTGGTAGGTGACTGCTCAACAGTTAATTAGACTGAATCGGTCCTTACTGGCTCTATAGGGTGAGTAAAAAACAACGCATCCCAAATGGCAGGACCAATTTTTGAATGAAGTTTTGCCTGTTGCACTTAAAAAATCTGGATATGAAAGCCCAGTCATTATAAAGCTTTCTTTTAGTACAAGAATCATTCCGATCACTCGTGTACTTTTCAAGTTACGGTATTTTGAACACAAACACCGTTTCAAAGTTTATTCCACGGATCAAAGTTTTATGTCACTCAGTGAATACTGTATATTCCGAGAAAACAATATTCTAGGACTTGATTTCAATTCAAAAGTTGCCCAGTCATGTTTTGAATTGCGCCCAAACTCGGCATCAGGGACATGTTCTCATTCAGCTGATTGCAGCTATGCGATGTCACTCACCGAACTAATGCACGCACTCTGGGCTCATTCGACCAATAGGAGTACCAAAATGCTCAGGCGCCTCATCTTTAAGAAAAAACGCGTGCAGCATGCACGTGAGCATGACATCACCACAGTAAAAGCTTCTAATTTTGGTCCCTGGATTCTACCGTAGTGCGAAGTACGCATGAGTAATTGTGTGCTGAATGTGCACAAAGTCGCATTAGGCGTCGTCAGCAATGCATACGAATGTCATTCAAGTGGTCTCCCCCAACTCTCCCTTCCTTACCATTGAGGGCGTACTTGTGCACGGAGCCCATAGGTTTATAGTGCAGAATTGTGTTCTTTCACCTTTATCTCATTCTGAAATGATTTGTTATTTTGTTCTTGTTTTATCTAGACTCTTGGTGCAACAGGCACAGTGGTAGGGATTGATGAAGACCATGACGTGGTCGTCTCCTACCCAAGTGGGAACAGGTATTTGATAACTCTTCTAAGACTACAAGAACAGATTCTTTTTCCTTGGTTTTTCCATCATCTATGAACATAAAACTTTAAACAGGTCAGAGTTTTACAATATTAGCTATAAAATACTAACCCCAAACTGTACCCATGTCTGCAGTGGGCGAGGCTAAATAGATCATCCCATTCATTGGCTCAGTGTCCCATAATACGTTCCCATGAAACTAACTGTACACTGTGTGATTACTCATTCATCAATCTTCTTTGCCCGCAGGTGGACTTTTAATCCAGCTGTCTTGACAAAGGTCAACACCACGACCTCGGTGCAAGGGTCAGCTAGCGGAGACACGCCCACCGCCTCCCAGTTCCAAGTAGGAGATCTGGTGCAGATTTGTAGTGACCTGGAACGCATCAAAGCCCTGCAGAGAGGGCATGGGGAATGGGCTGAGGCCATGCTACCGGTGGGTAAACACCAGGCGGAGATACTAAACACATGGGCTAAGCGCAGCAGATGCTTGCTCAGCACAAACCGGTTACCAGCCAAAACGTCATGCAATTTGTATTGCTGGTGGCTGGTTCCCGGTTCCCAGTTGAGTTTTGCTTTGGAACAAAAATTTGTTAATATTTTCTGCTTAGAAGCTGCATGAAATTCACAAAACTCTTCTTATCTTACGTCTCATCTTCGGACTTAAGATGAGTCTCTGCTTAAAAGCCCCAGTCACACATTTACAGTTTGGAGCTACGGATCTCCACAGTTTGAAACTTGTGATAAACCGTGGGAGTAGCGTGCTCATCCTTAGTACATCCGTGGTTATCCGTCATCTTCCTTGGGTATTCATGGAGGGGCTACGGAAGTTTTAAATTGTTCAAATTTCTGTGGTGAATCATCATGAAAATCAATCCATAGTGCAACCGTGGGACATCCGTAGGACAACTGTACTGATTCGTAGTGTTATTTGTGGCTATTTGTTCATATTCTTGGAGATTTGTAGCTCATTCGTGGTAGAAATCTCTACAAATTCGCTACGAATGTCCTACGGAAATGCCCGGATGTGCTAGGGTTCTGCAAAGGTTGTGCTACAAATATTCATGCTTTATTCGTAGGAGAACCTTGGTCATCCGTGACCCAGTCGCAGACAACCGTGGCGTTAACGTCATAATTTTTAGTAATACCGTTGACAAACTGTGGTGTATTCGTAGAGAAACCGTAGGACAGTCGTGGCTATCCATCCTGAAACCGTAGAGCATTCTTAGAAAGTTGATTTCTCCGCGAATCTCGACTATTCATCGTGATCGTTTGATTCTTGGTAAACCGTGGATATTCATAGCTCCAAACCATAAACGTGAGACTGGGGCTTAAGATTGATCTTAGCTAAGACGCATTCTAAGACCGATTTCACCAAACCCATCTCAAGCAAGCCACATCAAAACTACCAATTTGATGGCTGTTTCATGTTTGTTTTTACCGCTTGACAAAACAGTCATTGAAAGGAAATGCGCAAAACTAACTTCCTTTGTGCAGAGAACACAAACTTTCGCCAGTTTACTCAATACATTTTACACGGAAGGTTGGTCAACACAAGATGCGATAGAGTCATTCTTGCTCCCCGTTTCATCACTCTGTTTAAAAAAAAGAAGTCGACTAAGTGTTGGCGTATAATACAATTTTGTAAAGCTATTTTATTATGACTACCCATATATCAGAAATCTGTTCAAATCTGTTTCTACAGCAGATTTGTTCCTTGAAAATATAACTCTATGCCAACACTCGTTTTTAACGAGAAGACGTTGCAATGATTTCCAGACGATATATAGATTTTAATGAGATAAGATGACCCTCAGGCCAATCTTAAGTTAAGACGAGTTAAGCCGTGTTGCTAAGAAAGTAAGAACATCCTGAACGCTTCTCAAGTTTGGTAAAATCGATCCTAGGACAAGTCGCGAGTTAAGACGAGTAACATTTCTTAAAACGCGTCTTAGCGTTTCGTGATATCAGCCCCTGGTCAAATAGGACCTCAAGCATTGGGACCAAGAAGCTCATTTCTGTCTTGTCCATCTCATGATTTCATGACACTTGTCATAACTAACAATGCATCGCAGCGCTGTGACGTGTCGTATCCCTACGATGCGTCGCAGCTGCGATGTGTCCTGCGATTCATTTCACAAAACACGTCGTAAGTGGACGCATCGTAGGGGTATTTAGAGCACAACTCGGTGACTGTTATACGTTTTCACTCAACGCACAGTAAATAGTCGTTCGATATTCAGCAAAGAGTTGTCAAATCTCCTCTCGAAAAGTTTTTAAAATGTAAAAAAAAATGGCGAGCGTATGATGCAGTTTAAAATGAAAACAAGTTCGCAGTGGACTGTTATATAGCTACTTTGAAATTTCAACTGCAATTTTCCAGGCTAATTCATATTTAATGCGATGCATTTCTATTTAGACTGCACACACAGTCTTGGTATTAAAGGCTAGTTAAAATTTTTATGGCATAAAACTGGCTTAGAAAAGGACTCTTCTTATTTTGCGACGACCACTAGACACGTAACTTGCGGCGTGTTTTAAGCCGTTGTCAAGGAACTTACGACGCGTTCGACACGTCGTAAATTTTGTGAAATGGATCATACGACACATTGCGAGTTGCGACGTGTTACGCGTCGTAACATGAGTTGTGACACGTTGCAGCACTTCGTGAAATCGGATGCTGGACTGGTAATTTTGCTCTTTGAGTCTTTGAATGGAAGTGTCCTTTACCAAGGAGAAATAAAATTGTCTCTTAACCCTAAAAAGCCAGACTGATCTTTAAAAGTGTAATACACTTTTAAAGACATTCATACTAAGTAATTATGCAAAGTTTTTGCTCTAGCAAGTGTTTTGTAATTATGGTCAGTAATACTTTATTAAAGCCTTCTTCCATAAACTAGTGTAGTTGGTGTTTTTTCCTATACGTTGTCAATGGAAAACAAAAGATATTGCAGTATCCTGAGTTGAATTTTTGACAATTGCATAAACGCAGTGTCTGATTTTTATCTAATTGCTGTCAAAACATTTTGAAAAATATCAGTTTACAAACACATGAAGGCTTGGCACCAATAAACGAGTGCGAGTGCACAATAAGCTCTGGCCGTGTTGCAAGAAGTCTTGCATGAAAGTCTTGCAATGAAATCGATCAAAATCGATCATGAAAGTCTTGCCAAGGTCTATTTTCCAACCGTTCGGAATACCGCACTGGCTTATTGTCCAGCCCTCTGTTGGCAGTCTCCCAATACATGCAAGTCAGTGTTTTTGTTCTGGGGCACTAATAATGTCTCTCTTTCTTTTCTAAATGTCGTCTGGTAGACATTGGGTAAGATTGGTCGTGTGCAGCAGATCTACCATGACAATGATCTCAAGGTGGAGGTCTGCGGTACATCCTGGACCTATAATCCTGTGGCTGTCACCAAAGTGGCATCAGATAGTGGAGGATTAAGCAACTCATCAGGTACAGGACTTTGGCATCAGTCAGGGCAACTTGGCTCATATTGGGCTGAGCTGTCACAGCGAAATGGCGCCCCCTATTTTGTAAAGAAATTCTGCATGTAGCGCTTTCCAGATCTAGGATGTGAAAGCCCAATTAATAAGCTTTCTTTTAGTACAAGAATCATTCAAAAGGGGACGAACGAACCTGTGTTCACAGGAACTGAATGCCCATCTCTCTTTCGTTAGCGATTGGGCCAGACTCATATGCTGCTGTGGGGGGATCGCCACACCTCCTCCACAGCGAGTCTGTTACCTTCCCAGCATTGAATAATGCCGGTACCCATTTAACACCTGGGTTGAGAGGAGTAATTGAGGTAAAGCGCCTTACTCAAGGGCACAACACGCATGGCCATGGCGGGGCTCGAACCCACAATCTCACGATCATGGGGCTTGTGCTCTATCGCTAGACCACACGTGCCCTACAATCGTTAAAATCACTCATGTACTTTTTGAGTTGACACAGTTTTAAAATTTTGTCCACGGATCACATTTAAGATACGTGATATTTCAGTAAAATGAAAATGTTGTATCATGAAACGATGTCAGAATAATCCCCTAATATAAGTCTCCGAGGTAGCCAAGTAGAAGGCAGGGCAAGACTGTAAACTCTTGACAAGTTGACATTATAAAGCATGTTGTTTTAACATTGGAAGCAGCAGGTTTTTAAATAAATGTTATGATAAGTGCCAGTTATCATGGTTATGAGAGTGTTCTGACGTGTGTTTTGATATGTAAATAGTTTTCGTTTTGCTGAAATGTCACTTACCTTTATTGTGATCCTTGGACAAAATCAGAAAACTGTGTTTGTGTTTAAAAGTCCATAATTGAAAAGTACATGAGCGATATGAATGATTCTTGTACTGAAATAAAGCTTAATAATCCCTAACTCCCTAGGCCTTTTTTTCTAGAATGTAGCCGCAGTCCTGCAAAATCCTCCAATTGGCATCATGAAAAAATAACATGTGGCCTCAATCCAGCAAATTCCTTGATTATTTCTTGAATATGGTCCGTGGAGGGGTGACCACTGCCTGAATCCTGCAAAATCCTGCGGCAGTGACTGTCAATATGTTGAGGCTTGGCCAGTGACATCCTGGAGCAGTACGGAGGATTTCAAGAATAATCCAGGCCTATATTTATGCATGACTGAGCAAAAACAACACAAGGTCTGGCCCAAGACCTTGACAAAGTGCATCCTAAGAAATCAGTAACGCACTTATGCCATGTAGCCTCAATCCTCCAAATTTGTCCACTTTGACAAAGAGGATTTGAAGGATTTAGGGCGGTTAGGGTTGATAGGGCTTTTACATCCTAGATCTTGAACGCCTTACATTTTAAACTTCTTTTAAAAATAGGGGGTGCCATTTGGGTTTTCTTCATTTTTTTTTTAACTCGCCCCGTATTTTTGCTAGCACTGTTATTGCAGAATGGCGGACCCTAAACGCCAAATCTGTGGTTAACAGAGCCATGAAAGTGGGCCCATGTTTTTATGAAACTACCAACTGAGCTATCAAGCCTTTAATTGATAATATACAAGTTCGAAATTGTCACCAAAAAAAGAAGTGTCACTAAATGGGATAGCACCATCAGTTTCCTAAACTACTACTGGATAGCTGAGTTGGTAGAGCACTGGAATGGCAATCCGGAGGTCAAAGGTTGATTTGAAATGTGCTTACCATCGTCAGTTGACTTGTCAACATTTGATACCTCTAATTGTAAATCAGACATGATCTCATCTTTTCTCAGAGAGGTTATCAGCACTACTCAAGAAGCTGTTTGAGACGCACATCACTGGAGATGTCAATGAGGAACTGGTAAAAGCAGCGGCCAACGGTGATGCCAACAAGAGCGAAGAGATCCTAGTGCGGCCAGATGCTAACGTGAGAATATCGTCTGGTTTTCATTATCCATTGGTTGTTTAACTCTTTCAACTCAACCCTGTGTAGAAATCAAATGTCGGCTATCGTTAATCTCATGAGGAGGTTTGCATTTTGTGATTACTGCCCTCTATGTTTTGTACCTACATATTTTATGCCTACATAAAGCCTGGTACATGAAGTTTGGTTATCCAAGCGGGATAGCAGCTCAACAAATTGCCATGTCTCTCTGTTAGTTACAGGGTGAGTCAAAAAAAGCGGAACCCAAACCCCCAAAACTATATTTCATATTTAAAAAAATATGTAGCACCAAACATAATAATGAATGGAAAGCCAATTTCATAAGCTAATTTTAGATGAAAAATAACTGAAATTGCTCAATCCTTTCAAAGAATATCACCATTTAAACGCAATGACCCTAAAACCTGTTTCGTCCAAAAAAAATGTATTGTGTATTCTGACTGTTTGAAACAACAAAGAAAATGACACAGAATACTTGTTTCAACAACTGTCAACAACAGTAGTACACAATATCTTTATTAACATCCCTGGTAAGGCAAACAATATGATTTATAAAATCTACTTTTTTTAAAGACGGGCCTTCAAAAGGACTTTGTTGAATGTTTTTAACTTTTAAACTGAGGTTTTATCGCCGGTGATGTTTGAAGACAATATTGTGACGACGATTCTTGAAATTGCATTTTTGGACAAAAGAGGTTTTAGGGTCATTGTGTTTAAATGGTGATATTCTTTGAACGGATTGAGCAATTTCTGTAATTTTTCATCTAAAAGTAGCTTATGAAATTGGCTTTCCAGTCATTATTATTTTTGGTGCTACATATTTTTTTAAATATGAAATATAATTTTTGGAGTTTTGGGTTCCGCTTTTTTTTTACTCACCCAGTAGTTAGTAACAAACGGTGACATTGTCTATTGCTCCTACATATTTTGACCGATTTCAACCAAACTTTGTCAAAAGTATCAGTAGCCCAGCCCCAACATGTCACATGACCAAACTGGGGTCAAAGGTCATCATGGGGTCAAGGTCAAAATAACGTCAAATTTCAAATAAGCTCAAATGACAAACGTAGCACTGTCAATACGTTGGCCTTGGTCAAACATTAAAAAATGTCCATGTGACCTCTTCATCTGACCTACAGTACTGGGGTCAAAGGTAAAAAAAGGTCAAATTTCAAAGAAAATCAAATGACAAAAGTAGCCCTGTCAACATGTTGGCCTTGTTCAAACATTACAAAATGTCCATGGTGAACTCTTTGTCTGACCTACATTTATAGGGTCAGCGGTCAAAATAGGTTGAATGGCACAATCACGTGACTCATGCATGGACACAAATTTGTTGGCCTGCAGCTTCCGTAATCAACGCATTCATTTACTTCCCTCCTGCTTACCCGTACCTTCGTCTTGGGTATAGATACACAATGCACAATCTGTAGCAATAAACGAACGATCTCGGGTTACTCGAGCTCAAGCCGCAGCAACCGGACTGGGTCAAGAGGTCATGTGGCGATTAAATCTCCTTTGCAAAATGGATTTGAGCCATTGAAAGCGCGCCACGGTGGCCACTGTACGTGTACATGCTCTTCCAAAATGAACAAGAAATGCCGGGTAGACCTATGTTTAAAATCAAAACTTAACTTTCCTCCCGTCGTCTAGTACTACACTTTTGAATCCCCCCGCCTCCGAAGCGTTAGACTTAGCCGCCATGTTATCGCATTGTATCGTGGGATACTTACCCAACCAACCGGCTCAGCATGTTGGTTACTTGGGCCAGGCTTGGGTAAGCGCAAGAAGTCATGTGAGAGTTAAATCGAACACAGTCGCGCTTGCACGAGTAAGGGCAGGGGGCGTAATGGAATGTGCTGAATGTAATTTCGGACACTGTAATTTGATTAAAAGTATCCAAACATTTTGTACTCCGAACAGCTTCTGATTTCATGGGAAATGATTGGATTTCTTTTTTTCTATTTTCTTTTTCTTCTTTTTTTTGAGGGAGAATTATTGTCTAGCTCCTAGTTTTCTGATAGAACAGTAGAATACAGCTATAATGACCAACACTACGCCGCACATTTGGCTATAAAAAGCAGTTCCTTTGAATCCTGAACCATTCTTGCTCATCAACAAATTAAATTGTTTTTATCAGGATTGATAAATTTTCAACTTGTATGTTAATTGTTTCATTCAAAAAAGCAAAGTTTGTTTCTAGAAAGACTCTCATAATTGGTTACCTTTGTACACAATCCAATCTGAATGGTTGGCAACCTGCAAATAATTCAAAATTCAAGTAAAAATGGTGTCGTTACAAAGTTAAATTCTTTCCAGACACTGGTACCTTGTCAGGCACTGCTTTCAAATCGTGTAGTGGTGTGTGAATGCAACATGTGTCTCGGACTCAGACTTGATAGTTTTTGAAGTCAAAATTTTGTTGACATGCCTTTTTGGTAAGACAAAATGGACAATATGGACGTGTGTTTCACGTACGAAACTCAACTATCATTTCAAATTTTGCACTTCGAGCACTTAAAAATTTATGATTTTTTTATTCATGCTGTAAAGCAGCAGCAGTGTAACATGGCTGCGTTTATTCTGGCACAAAACTGGATCATATAAAGGGAATCTAAACAGGTTTATTATGCACGAAAATGATTTGTAGGTATACTCCCGCAGCAACGTCCTAATTTTCTGCCGAACCCAAATCGAACCAATGTTCAGATAAAAATTGCTGAACTGGACCCAAACCGAACCTGAATCAAACCCGAGGGTTCCCTTTCAGCAATGCAAGTCTGGCTAAACTCAAAAATAAGAAGGACAGAACATCATGTGTATTTACTTGAAAATATGTTCCAGTACAATACTCATCAATCATAGTTTAATACTCAGCACATGACTGTTTGCCCTTGTGACCCCTTGTCTCTTCCCAGCATTCCATAGGGCTTGACTGAGCTAGCCATTGGACTATTGAAATCTTAGGCCGCATCAGAATTATTTGGCTACGGCTGAAGATAACACACAGGCCTATGGGAAGGGGCTTCCATAGGTGTGTGTGTTATTGCCAGCTTTGGCCAAGTAATTCGGCCACACGGCCATATTTATTTCTTATCCGTTATCAAGTCTCATCACGGACCCCCAAGGTGCTATACATCACTTATGGAAAGGGTGAAGTTGTCTGTGATTTCCGGTCTGGTTCCGGTTGGCTTGTTAATAGGGAACCCAATTAGACCAAACTGGTCACCGGATGCATTCCGTTGGCCTGACAGTGTGGTATCTGTGAAGCGATCCAGATTATGACTCCAAGTATCTCAAGTGGGTGATAATTGACGCATCTGTGCTGTGATTATTTTTAATGGCTGCGGTCTTGTTAACCTTATATGCAATATTTGATTTGACCTAATTTATTGAATGTTTATTTAGACAGAGTAAACGTTTGGGTTAGGTTCGGTGTCAAAACTGGATCCTGGTTGACTTTGATCCATTGAACTATTCAACTTACCGCTGCAATTAAATATCTTTTTATGGCTAAAACAAACACTGATACATATGATCTAAAGTGTGGCATGCCCTGCCAAAAACAAGAGGCTTTGGGGGTTTTGAATCAGGGAAATAACAGTCATTGTTGTCCCAATCAGCAACGATAAGGGGCAACATTTCAATTAAGAAATTTCAACAACTGACTTTAGTCTACATTTTGATTCAGGCATGTCACATGAAGTCCCTTATCACCCAGACTTATTTTGATACTCTGCCCACGAAGTTCGCCGAGGTCATTTTTAAGTGTTAAGAAAACATGAATAGTGGGCAAGTGCAAGAAATCGCGCACGCTATGGCCCATACGTAACAAAAGTTTAACTCTCCGAGATATCCATAGATTCAGAGTGTTTAATTCTACTGTTGGGAATCTGATAAAGGAGAATACCCACAAGCATTTTTATCCCCCTGGCTTCTGAGCCAGAAAGGGGCATATTGCGATAGCGTATTCCTTCTGTCCGTCCGTCCGTGTGTTCCATTTTGGTTAGGTTAACTGTTTAGTGCTGTCATATGAAAAGTCAGACTTCAATCTCAACCAAACTTGGTGACAGTAATCTTTGGTTAGGGGACTTAAGATGCCTTGAGTGCGTTCGATTATTTCCCCCAGCTTACTCTCGCCTGGCTCCTCGCGTAATAACAGACATGCGCAGTGGAGCTAAATAACCGGCTCGGCGAGTCGGTTATTTGGGCCAGGCTGGAGTAAGCGCGAGAAGTCACATGAGAGGTAAATCGAACACTGTCACGTTTGCACGAGTAAGCGCGGGGGAAGTAATCGAACGCACTGCTTGAGACATTTGAGGTCAAAGGTCATCTAGGGGACAAATGAGGTCATTGTCAATTTCGGCTAGGTAAACTATGAAGTGCTGTCACATGAAAAGTCAGACTTCAGTATCAACCAAACTTGGTGACAATCATCTTTGGGTAGGGGGACCTGAGATGGCCAGTGGCATTTCAGGTCAAAGGTCGTCTAGAGGTCAAATTCGCCATGCCAGGGGGATAAAGCAAGTTTAGTTGCTGTATTTTTGGTATTAGTCTTAGCGATGGTTATGTAATTTAACAAAATATGGTGTTACGAATGGGGCAAAAAAGGGGACCTTTTCTTGGACTTAACTGGTGCCAACTTTCTGAACTACACTTATTTTTTTTGGGGGGGGGGGAATCATTAAGCAAGTTCTTAGCTTTCTAAAACATTTTCCATTTGGCTGAATATAAGTGTTGTTCTTTTGTACACAATTTCATTCCTTCTTAGTCTCTACCAATTAGCCAAAAAAATAGCACATTATTTACATTTGTCAGTTTTTATTGCAAGGGACTCTTTTGTGTGTTTGTGAACCAAGAACAGCATATTTCAGAAGAAAGTCAACAGATTTGAAGAGTGTTAGTTTGCTGTCAGCAGTCCCAGCCAAGAATAACCTCCTAATTAAAACCCCTCGCCCATCCAAGGAACAACCCTAATGCTGTCATTGCACTGTGTCTGGTTCCATCGACAGGTCAATGTACAGTTTGCTGGTCATACTGCCCTACAAGCAGCCAGCCAGAACGGCCACGTTGACGTCATCAAAGTCCTCATCAGACACAACGTGGACGTGGAGATGGAGGTCAGTAGAAAACAAAAAACAAGCAGGGCCCACTTTCAAAGCACTTCTTAAAGGGAAAATACAACATTTGCAAACATCAAAAAATAAAACTACCAAATCATTTTGAAATACCTTGCTGGACTGTTAGTGAATGACAGTGTAAAGCATCCTGTAAAATCATGGCGCCTGGTATACTGTCATTTTCAAGAGAAGTGGTATTTTTGTATCAATTTCCAACGCCGATCGGCCGATCAGCGTTGGAAAAAACTGGCTTTTTTTTTCAAATACTGGCCCCAAGTGACCATCACACTTGTTTGCAATCGATTACACACCTATGAACGGGTACAAGCCAGCTAGACTGGTTCCCTGACCTTACAATTCCCCAATGTATGTAAACTGCTCTGTTTCTTCTTAAATGGAGTCAGGGAACCAGACTACAGGAAAATGATTGTTTTTCTTGGTTTTTATAGCATTTTTGAACCCAAAACCTCAAAAACGTCAGTGTAACTATATTTGCTATATATTTCCAACCCCCCAATTCCATCCATTTCTGAAAATTACAGCAAAAGCAAATGATGTATATTCCCTTTAACAGTTAGCAAAAAAGTTGTACTTACTACAGTATATCCCCAAAAAAGTTTCCGTCTGACTATTTTGAAATATCTTCAAAACCATAAAGTCAATTTTGAAAATGCTTGGTTGTGCAGATACTCCTAAGCCTTGGCCTCAACCCCTATGAGTTTCATTTAATTTCAGTCACGCATCACTACACAATTGTCATTTGATCACAACATTTTTGGACACTGTGACCAAGTTCCTTACCTTAATCAATTTCGGTACTGCGTTGAGTAAGCTGTGTAAAATCTTTCACATTGTGAACAAAAATGTTGGGGAAAAAACTGAATTTTTACAAATACTGCCCCCAATTTACCAAATCCACATTTTGTTTGCAATCGGTTACACATCTGTGAAGGGTGCAAGCCAGTTAGTCTGGTTCCATGACATGACGATTCCCCGACGTCAACCTCATCCCCAGGGTGTCGAGCAGTACGCGCCCACCACTACCTGCTCTCTCACCCTGGTATTGGATCATTTGCATGTGCAAGATTTTTGAACACGTATGCAAATGAGGAACAGTCTAGTGCCTGGATATGCGTTACACATTAGCGTTTGTTTTTGTATGCGGTGTCTGGGGTAAAAACAGAGTCAAGTCGTAGCAGCACGAGCACGGCGTGAGTTACGAAAACACGATTTTTGAAATCAAACTGTTACGATCTTATCGAGACAACATGCAGTATCATATTTCATATTAATATGAGCAAATTGGAAAGGAAATTAGTATGTTCGAGAAGGCATGGACGAATGATCGCGAAAACACGTACTGCACGTTGTGAATAATAGCACCAAGTACACGATAAAAATCCATTACTAGCCAATTGCGGTATCCAATCAGGATACAGGAAGAAAGTTTCCTATCCAGGATTTACTATTGGAAACGCGGTTGGAAATAAAGTAAGCACTGGGGACGAGGTTGCCCCGACGTCTATAAGTTGCTCTGCTTCATCTGAACTAGGGTCAGGGAACCAGACTTAAAGAACAGCATTGTCTTGCTGTTTGTTTAAGCATCATGTGAACAAAACTGTTTAAACATGCCAGAAACTAGAGAACCTAGTCAATCCCATTAATGTGCACTATGAAATGTCAATGGATGAAATAGAGCAATGAATCAGGCTTCCAACCTCAGAAAAGTATATAAACAAGTATCAAAACCTTTAATTTAGCAATGAAAGCAAATGTAATTGACTCCTGTGAGTCTTAGCGCAGAACTTATTTGACTTTTTAGTGGTTTTTTTCTATGCTTGACATTACATTGAAATTCTGCCTACACATTTTTAAATTTTTTTTGGAAATGTAATCTCCACAGGACAAAGATGGCGACCGTGCAATTCACCACGCCGCATTCGGTGACGAGCCAGCTGTGATTGAGCTGCTTCACCGTGACAACGCAGACCTGAATGCCCGCAACAAACGACGCCAGACCGCCATACACATCGGGGTCAACAAAGGTCACTACGGGGTGGTCAAGACGCTACTGGAACTTGGCTGTCATCCAAGTTTGCAGGTACTGTACGCGTGTGCACGACAAATCATTTTGACAAGTTTTTGATTTTCGAAAAAGGCAAGATATAGCAGCCAACTTTTGATACACAGCCAAACGCCACAAATACTGATTCGCAAGAGTCATTTCAACAGTATTTGTAATATATATTTTTTACCGCAACCTCATATTTGTCAACACTCCGGGGTGTACCCACGGAGTGTAAATTGTATCGCAACAGGCCGCGCACAGCGGCCAAGTTCAAGTACAACACACGGTCTGCCTCCACAGACTTTCTCAGACTTTGTGTGTGTGTACAAAACAAATGGGGGATTAGCGTGTTTAGACGTCATCTTGAGGATAGGCAATCTTGACGTTTTAACCACGTTTTAAGCCATGCCTGTGTATAAAAACAGCCAGATTGTGTTAACATGTCATCCGACGCGAAATAGGAAACTTGCAATGAGGTATTTCTGGCCCATATATGGCTACACTTCTTGGAGGGTTCAATCCTGTCTGAAGCATGGTCCACTCTGTGGAGTAAGGTAGTCAGATTCTCAGGCTTTCAAGTATTCCTACTTTTCCTACTTTTTCCTATTTTTTTTTAACATTGCTCCTACTTTTCCTACTTTTTTCCTTGAAATTCCGACTTTTCCTACTTTTTTCCTTGAAATTCCTTCTTTTCCTACTTTTTCCCATGAAATTCCTACTGTTCTTACTTTTCCCTACTTTTTTGTTCCACAACTCTGAAAAATGAAATCTCATTGAATATTTTTCAAAACAAATTCGGGGTTTCCAAATCAAGGTGTGGTTAAGCTCAGCGCAAGTACACAGAATCAGCCTCAGTTTACTGCTCATCACAATGCTGGTTTTTGTGTGCAGTGACAGTGTCACAGTTACTTTAACACTTCATATCCCTTCACCGGAAACTGACCTGCAGGATTTTAAAGGGTTTTACATATTGCTCTGAATATTGACTTCCCACTTGGAGGGTTAGTGCCAAATCATGTGCTAAAAACCTAATAACGCTTTTACTAAGTTCTGGACCAAGTCTGCCATAATTCAACAATCACACTGCTTCCAATGCATGCTTTGCTTTAGGCCTCCAGGCCCAAGTCCATCATACTCCATCAATATTTAGTCAAGCCAGGCCTGCAGGACCAAGTCCCCCAAAATCCACCAAAATGGGGAGTTTTTGATGGAGTTTTGGAGGTTGGGTTAAACCACATTATAAAACATCCTTTTTTGCACAGTTTGCAGTGTGCTTTAAGTCGAATGTCCTTTTATGTCAGTCCGTAGAGTTTTCCAAACAAGGCAGAACTTTAACCAATCCAACGGCATATGACAGCGGCCCCGCTGTCCAACTCATAACTGGTCACGTGAGGGCCTCAACAACACCAGTTGATAATGACACCGTGATAGTGTCGCAAGCTCCTGATACGAGCTCTGTAAATCAAGTCCTAAAAAGGTATCTTTGATTTCCTTGATATGATTAAGGGACTGGAAACGAACTTTTATTCTTGATTAAATGACTTAGGTTAACTTTTCACTGAGTTAACTTTTCATTTTCATTTTGAAACCAAAAAAAATGTGATAATGTATTTCTCTTGGTCATGGTTGGGCTGTTCTGTAATAGTTTTTCTCTCTGTGTAACGCTTGTCCTTGGCTCAGCATGCCTAAGCAAGAGGGTGAGTGCTTCAGTCTTCTGTCCCAAGCTCATCACGCTCACAGATAGTTGTGGTTAATTATGGCAAATTCCAGCTGAGAATTCCCAAGATGGCTGTTGCTGGACTTATCCCCCAGTACCCCCCTTCAAACTTGAGGCTGTTGCATGAGGGTGAACCTTTGCTGGTATGGGCAAGCCTTACACCCAGGCTAATAAGGCCCGATGCGATGGTCTAACGTTGCGGGCGGTCCCCCGTTATGGCGCACTGTCAACACTATCATCAATCCATACATTGAGATCGCTATCAGTGGCCTATCGCTCTGCGTCATCATCAGCAACCCCAACACCTTGGCATTTCACTCTGAACTCATCTGGGGACACTAAGACAGGTGCTCGCCCAGTGTGTCGCTGGGCTGTATTAATTAGCCTGTGGGAGACTGGGCTCCGGGCGAAGGTTGAAACCAAGGCCTTGAGTGGGACTGTCATCTTTAATCTCAGCTCGTCGGCACTTGTGAAATACCTGCCGTCGCAAACACTGTGACATGCAGTGGACTACATGTTAATTAACATCCAGTAACATGTACTTATACGTATCATTCATCAAGTAAGATCTAAGCTCCGCAAGCTTAGCTGTTGCAGTCAGCTGATGGAATGTACATGTGTACATGTACATTCAACCAGGTCTGAGAAATCTAGGGTCATTGAACTTTTTGAAATTTATTTATGGGCCCCAGGAATCCACCTAAGTGGATCTATCACTAATTCACTTGCCGAACATATCGTCAATGTTTTTGTGTGATTTTAATTATCAATTTGTTAATATGGAGAGGTGCTGTGTAGGTTTTGGTATATACAGGGTGAGTAAAAAATACCGAAACCCAAATGTGGGGACCATTGTTTTAGTGAAGTTCTGCATGTAGCACTTTCAAAATCTAGGATATGAAAGCCCAATTCAAAAGCTTTCTTTTAGTACAAGAATCATTCAAATCACTCATGTACTTTTCAAGTTACGGAGTTTTAAACACAACCACCGTTTTAAAGTTCAGTCCGCGGATCACAAAAAAGGTGTGCGTTCTTTCAGCAAAACGAAAACAGTTCACACACATCCCTATGTGATTTGTTGTCGTTTTGCTGAAAGAACACTGAACTGCGGGTACTGAGAACAAAGAGCAACAATAGTGTCAATAGTACCCCGTTAGTTGGTCTTTAGGAATTTCAATAGAGATTTCAATAGAAACAAAGGAGAACAATTAAAGGTGGGCAATAATGGTACCCCATTGACACAATATGTACGACTATGTGTCTCGTCTACAGGGCTCTAAAAAGCGGTAAAAGGGCACCCTCTTTTGTTGGCGCACGGAGACCATAGACAAACTTGGTGGACTCAGTGGGTCGATTTATTAAAAGCTGGTATATATTTATATACATGTACACACAAATTTCAATGCGAAGCAAATTTGTTACCTTAAAACCCTAACTCCCTAGCAGGATTTACTAGGAACCATACCCATCCTGGCAAATTCAAACACCATATGGGAAACTGCACACACATATTTCTGACTTTGATTCTGGAGGTGTGCCAACCCAATGTAAAAGACTGTCAGTTTAGGGGTACTGTACCCATCCTGACAGATTCCAACAAAACATGCCGTTGGGGTTTGATGGGTTGAGTTCTGTCAGGGTTAATGGCAAATGCCACAATGAAACCGCAGTTGTTGACGTCATGAAATTTGCTTTGCTTATTTTCTAATGATGTGTGAATTTGTCTTAAGTCCAACATGGGTGGGACATGACCTCATGTTGGACTTTTTTCTATGCATGTGGGACATCGATCACCGCTGTGATTAGTCAGAGCGTCATGGAGGTGGGGCTTAATTAATTGGTCCATTAGAAGCTATTAGGCCAACAAAAAAAGTCTCCGGTTTCTGGTATGGAGCTTGCCCCAAAAGTGGTGCGGCGACGCAGGTTTTTATTTTCCCTACTTTTTTTCTTCAAATGTCAGCTGATGTTGCAGATGACACTTCGATACCCTTAAAACTCTCAAAAATATCCTTCAGGGTGGAGCTTGAGGTGAACTCAGTAAGGCCATAAGGCTTGAGAATTCTGCACCCACTTACGATCTCCACCGACACGAACGTTCTTCAGAAAATTTGGATAGTCAAGACAGAAATCAGAGAAAACGGTATTAACGTCGGACCATACAGCGACATCGACATCGTGCATGTGCTGCCAGGCTGGTCATTAGTCTGCTCCCGTATATATTGCGCTAATTAAAAAGTGTTTACAGGTTCCAGATACACGACCATCGCTCCCTCAGTCTGGCTTTCAGACGCACAATTACAAAATTACAACATCGTCAAATGGTACCCGACTTAATTTAGTGCAAAATACATAGAAGCCAAGAGAGGCCACATAGAGCTTATACTCGATCGTAACCCATCTAAAAACCCTTTAAAATTGTGCAGCAGCAGGATAACAGTCAAACCAGTGAGTTTTTTTATTTTTTTTTATTTTTGCTGATGCCCATGGCTATGGCGATGCACGCGCAGACCAAAACCGGATACTTTTTTTTTTGCCTCAGTGAGGTGGCTGTATCCTCAGTAGTACATGTGCACCAGTGCGCCTGTGAAGAGTAGGGTTGCTAAAAGCAGGCCGTGCTCTCTTAACTTTAAGAATGCACGCAACAAGAGCACAAACGTGCTATCGCCTCCGGAACGGCTTCTAATTCTGTTCTCAGGATGACTCTATTGTTCGCAGTCTCCCAAATGTCAGCATCTATGTTTGGGATATTGGTCGGAAGCCATAAATCCCAAGCGTTGTGCGTGCAGATTGGCTAGAGACTATCTCTACAGTCTTAAGGCTAGCAGCATTGCTAAGGCCAACAAAAATAATAATTCTGCTTCTGGTTACCCTACCTATCCAAAAATAACATTTTTCTTGAAAATGAGAGCACACCAGGTGCCATGATTGTACAGGATGCTTTAGACTGCCATTCACTAACAGTCCAGTAAGGTATTTCATAATAATTCGGTAGTTTTGTTTTTTGATGTTTGCAAATGTTGTATATTCCCTTTAAAGTTCACACACAATATTTCTTTAATTTGTGAAGACTGAAGTGAACCCTGTCTCCAAAATATGACCATACTGCATGGTTAGTACATTGTGTGCGCCTGTACGTCTCCGTATGTGTGAAGATGGTGACTTTGATTCACCCAAGATGGTTAAGCTTCTAATTGGCTATTAAAGAAAACCATCTTAGCGCGATTGAAATAGTTCCCCAGTAGGAGACCGTCTGGAAAGATTTGACAAGTTGCAGCTTACATGTAGTGTCGAAGTTGTGTAAGATTCTTCTATCAGT